TGTGAGAGATTATCTCTGGAACGACGGACTGTTCTATATAATCTCTAATTCCTTCTAAAAACTACCACTCGAATACGAATCAAACGGATTTTGATCACATTATATAAACTAATAATTGAATACTTATATAAATACTTATATCTTTTAGATATTTAAGTCATATTTAAAAAATAAATATATTAAATTTTTTATATAATTTAAAGATCAATAATAATTAAATAAAAATCAATTTTTTAAATTTTATATTAAGCTTTTTTTAAAAAAATAAAATAAACATTCAAAAATTGATATAAAAAAACAAAAAAAAAAAAAACTTTTGATTGATAAATATATAATGCATTATCAAAGTTTTTGAATTTATATTTTTTAATATAATTTAATAAGTAATTATTTAATTTATATAAAAAATATATATATATATATTATAATCTAATAATAATAATATACCAATTTTATTAACAGTTTATTAATAAATCTATTGTAAAATATTAATTTAAAATAAAAAAAAAATAAAAAATAAATAAATTTTAACAAAAATTTTTTAAATAATAAACTATAAATTAAATATCAAATATAAAAAAATTATTATTAAAATTAATTAATATATAAATTTATTAAACAAGTATTATTAAAACTATAAAAAAAATTGTTATAATTAATAAAACTATTTAATTAGCTATTAACAAAAGTTGAATATTTATATAAAAAATAATTATTTATTAAATTATATAAATAAATATCAGTAGAAAACTTTTTAACAAACTGTATATTGTATATGTTATATTTATCTATATTAAAAATATTTAATTAGAATTATAAAAATTAAAAATTTTTATATTTACAAAGTCGATTTTTATAAATTAATCTTTCATTTAACAAAATATCTTATATTAAAAAAAAATAACATTAATTCTTTGATTATATAATAGAAAAAAATATTGTTACCAAGTTTCATCGCTTTTTGAATATTAACTCTTACAATTTAATAAACTCAAAAAAAATATCTATGCAATTATACTATGTTATTATTATTTTAAATAACATTATTAAAATTTTGATAAAAAAAAAAAGTATTTAATATTTATATTAAAACCATAATAAAATAAAAACGCATGTATACAATAGATGCCTGTACCACGTAGCATTGATAACAATTTTTTTTTTTTAATCAACAGCTGGTAGTGCGATATGTTTAGGACTAGCTCACATAAACTAAGTCATGCATCAAAGCTTGAATTCAGTTATAGATTCATAGTACGTGTCTAATTCTAAAAGTGCCTTTTACTTCACCTCACTTGACATTAACCCTAAAATCATAAAATAGACGAGTAATTGTGGAAACAGAGCTTGCCTATCAAAGACCTTTCTTCCAATTATCAAATCCCCGGCGTCAAAAGTAAAGAAGGAACAAAAAAAGGACGAAAATGTTGTCAATACTATTGGAGAAAGTCACAAATTGATGCTTCGTGCCGGTCTTATAAGGCAGGTAGATGTATCGTGCATTCGATTACAGGAATCATTCTTTAGAATTATTTTTCTCTGATATATTTTAGCACAAACAGTCTTCATCAGGAATATACACGCTACTTCCATTTGCACTTCGATCACTTGAAAAAATAGAAAAGATTGTAGATCAGGAACTAGAAAACATTGGTCCGTTTTGTTGAGAATGTTGATGTTCAATTTAACGTTCCATTTACCTTAGCCTTTCGTAATTAGGTGCTCAGAAATTGCTTCTTCCAATACTGCTAAGCGCTAATTTGTGGAAAAGAACGGGTCGATGGGATGCTTTTGGAACCGAGGTAGGTTCATTACTAATTTATCTTTTGTTCTATCGAAATGATTGACCGATATTATTTAAACATTTCGAATAATAGCTATTCCAACTCCAAGATCGCAAAAACTCAGAATTTTGCCTTGCGCCGACACACGAGGAGGAAATCACTCAACTTGTTTCAAATGAAGTAGTGTCGTATCGACAGCTTCCTTTACGTTTATATCAAATAGGTATAGTAATAAATAGTAATAACGCATAAAACATAACTCTATGTATAACATTTCAAGGATGATATTTGCATAATCATAGGGAGAAAGTATCGTGATGAAATGCGGCCACGTCTAGGATTACTACGGGGACGGGAGTTCATAATGAAAGATTTATACACGTTTGATGCAACGGAAGAATTAGCATTAAAAACTTACGAGGAAGTAGTTGAAGCATATAAAAAGATATTTACTAGGATTGGGCTTCCATTTACCATTGTTGGTACAACTTTAAACTTACGTAAATTACTATAACAGAATTAATGAGTCGCTAATCTTACAGGCTAATGCGGATACTGGAAACATTGGTGGAACAAAATCTCACGAATTTCATTTCTTATCCCCTGGTGAGCAATAGCGAAAATTTTGATTGGATAGTTCATATTTAATTTACATTATTGATATTTTAATATCGTATATACAGCTGGAGAGGATTCGATATTGTACTGTACGCAGTGTGGATATTCTTCCAATGAAGAACGCGCAATTGGTATTATCCCTGCGTCATCCTCACCTTTCTCAGATATAAATCCAACAATGAGATTTGGCATTACTAAGGACAAGAGATTTTCTGTAATAATATTGGGAAGCGAACGAGAATTAAACATACCTAAACTAAAAAAAGAGATGTCCGAAAATAGTATTGAAATTTTGCAACTTGGAGATCACGAAAATGTTCAAGAACTTCTTCGTTCCGATAGAATGTCTTCTTTAGACATATATGTAGATAAATCATTTTCTGCAAACATGATTAATTTGGATTCGCTTCTGAGAAACAAAATGGTTAGTGATGTTCTCTCCGGAATGATCAAGGAATTACAAAACAGTCAGCTGAAACCTGTCAACATTCACCATGGCGATTATCATAATACGAAAACTTGTGACGGTTGTCCCGTTTGTTTTAAATCTGCAGAAACAGATCGTTTTACTCCGCTAAAGAATAGTCATGCTATAGAAGTTGGACATACCTTTCTACTAGGGACCAAATATTCAGAATTACTAAAAGCATCATATGCACCCGAAAGTCCCAAGACACCAGGGGAATTACTTCCAATTCAAATGGGTTGCTATGGTCTTGGGATCTCGAGGATGCTTGCAGCAATTATCGAGAGTTCGCATGATGAAAATGGAATAATATGGCCCGCTTCTGTTGCTCCATATAAAGTTTGCATCCTTCAGGGATCTGACGAATCAAGAATCACAGAAACAACGCAAGCCTTGTACGATCTGTTAAATTCGGAATGCACAGAACTGAGTGGAGATGTGATAATTGATGATCGTGTGAATCTGTCTTTCGGATACCGTTTGAGGGATGCAGAACTTGTCGGTTACCCTTGGCTAATTGTTTTAGGGAATAATTATTTAGAAAATGGTAAGATAGAGATAAATGAAAGACGTAACAAACAGAGAAATTTTATGGATTTTGGGCATATAAAAGAATCTAGATTTTGGTTGTAGTTCAAACATTTATATGAATTTAATTTTATAAAAAAGGACCTTTAAAAAAGAATCTAAAGTTCAACACATGTTATAATCAATTTGATAGTTTCCAAGTTTATAAAGAAAAAAACTGTGCGCTTTGGATTTTCTATAATTTAAGAAAGAGTGATGTGGAATTGTTAAATTTCTTACTCTAATGATCATATTAAGGCCTTATTTTATAATCCTCTACTGTATCAAGTTTTTTTGTTCTGATAATCCAAAAGAAGGTTGGTGTAAGTTTAGAAAGATGAAATTAAAATACATTTATTTTTTATTCATTTTGATAATTTATCACAATTAACAGGAGAATCATTTTGATATAAAATTCGACAACCAAAAATCTACAATGTATCAATCATATTTGAAGATTGATCTTACTAACTTAATGGTTTATTTGATTTAGAAAAGCAACATCCCACACAAAGATTCTGCTTTCATTTATAAAGTTTTATGTGTTTTATGATTACTTTTATTGAAGTAAAATACAATGAGAATGTTGTTTGCAATATTGTCTATCTATATCAACCCATCTAGATGACGATCTAGTTACATTACCAAATTTGATATCCCGTTCACTATGTTTATTACGTTAACATTATTCATACCGTAGTTAATTCCAAAGAGTTCGTTTATATTATTGAGTTCATTACTATTGCTATCAAAATTATCATTTAAAACTCTCAGAATATGCATAGCTTCATAAGGATTAGAATTTCCCGTCAAATTCTGAATCGATGGCTCTCTAAAAGAAAGGTAAGTAAGTTAATTGTTTGTAAATGTTTCTAGCGGTGCTAATACGAAAAAACTTACGAAAGTCGTAAATAAGGATTATATTCTAATTCTTCTCCAATAGTAGTAGGAACAGTGGAATTTACGGTTTGCGCCCATTCCAGCTTTTCCTTTTGTCACGTAATAACGTTAGAAAGATGCGAATAACATCACTACAATAAAAATGAAAATAAATTTCTTTCTAGTAAACTTACACTAATACGACTATTATTTGGATCTATTGCATTCGCAAACTGAAGATCAAAGAATATAATATTGTAAATAAATAGAGATCCTCAACTTTATAAAAAAACTTTGGGTAGCAATAATATCTTACCCGAAGATTCTTCAACGTAGATTCATGGCCACAGTAAATCTTGGTATCCTTAGGCAACTGTCCTAATATGTTATAAAGGACGTTATACATATCTTTGGACTCGCCTTCGATGAATTTTCCGCATCCGCCTATAAAATATCACGTGATCGTTACTAAAATCACAATTTAAATATTATAGCGTGAAGAAGAAAACCAATTCTCTTCTTTACCGGTCATCAATGTGTCCCCAGTAAATACAGCTCTTTCTACTTCCTCGTTCCTTGCATTGATATTCCGTACATAATAACACACACTACCCTTTGTGTGAGACGGTGTATGCAATGCGCGTACTCTTAATGTGCCAACCTGTTTCGGTTTGTAATTTTAATACAGCATCAAAAAAAAACGCGAAATCGAAAAAATATTGAAGCATACCGTAAACTCTTCATTATGTTTACAAACATAGTTCAATTCTAAACATGTATTGGAAAAAGGATATTATTTTTCCGAGAAAAAGTGAAATTTCCTATTTGCACGAGTAAAATCTTACCTGGAATTCGTGCGTCATGACCATAAACTGCAAGATTAGGTCTATCTGATATTAACTCAACATTTCCAGAAGAATGACGACTTGAAACAAAATGGAAAGATGGTTAATTTACTGTAGACCAATTTATCTATTTAATATATAATCAACCACTTACTGATGATGATGTGTCGTTAATATCGATGTTAACTTCGCGCCGGTTTGAGCAAGGACAGCTAAAACTTTTTGCGGTTCAGCTGGATCTACGACTGCGGCTGCATTTATAGTAAAAAGAGTCAAGATCGAAACGAGTAACACTGATGGATGGTTCAAATGCTAAGAACTTTTACAAACCTTCGTTTGCCTTCTCATCGAGAATAAGGTAGGAGTAATTATGTTCAAATATTTTAATAGGAAATATGCGCATCTTGACTGATCAAAGAATACAAATTGTCAAAATATTTGTAAAGCCAAGAAATCGATTTTTTTTTATATGTGTATCATTCATGTTTAAAAAAGAATGGAAAACGGCTAGAGACCTATCATCATCCGTAAGTTTATCTGCGTTTGTTATGTTGGCGTCACCGCAGTCTTGGCATTTTCTTTTATGGAACGACCGATTTCTTGGCATTTTCCATTTTAATAATATTCTATGGAAGTGTAGAAAAAATAAATTTCTACGTGGAAAATATTAAAGTCACGTGCATTTCCCGATATATGTTCTATCGAAATGTGCTAACTATAATTGAATGACCAGATGCATAACGTCCTGCAAGATACTGGTCATAATGCCCATTTTATTATTACGAAAGATTAGGAAAACATGAATAAAAAAATTAGAATAGATCTAGTGATAATTAATAATAGGAATTAATAATCAAAATATTTATATTTTAAAAAATTGATTATACGAGTCATAATTTACTAAATATGTAGGTTTCTGCAAGTTTTAATTTTTTTAAAAATACTAAACATTTATACCATAATATGGAAACTTTTGTTTTTTCAATAGCTACGCTACGTATAAATCGAACCTTCCAAGATTCCTTGATTTTTTAAATAATAAATTTAGGCAATCTCCTGTAATCTTATTTTTTTTATTTAAATTCAAAAAATTTATAAATAAATAATAAAATTATATAAATAATATTAAAAACTTTAATAAACATACTGTATTTTTAAAGTATAATAATAAAAAATATTTATTTATTTGTTAAATAATCTTAATATAATGTTTATTTTTTATTTAAAATTTTTTAAAAAAATTAAAAAATCCAAATTCAAAAATATATTATAAAAATTTTTATAAAAAATTAATTATCAATGATTTTATTAAATTGGTTAATAAAAAAATTTTGTAAAAAAATGGTTATATATAATTTTGTAATTAAATTAATTAAATTGAAAAAAAAAATTTTTTTATTTAAAAAAAATAATAATAAATCAATTAAAGTATCTTATAACAAACTTGTTTCTAAGATATTAAAGAATATATAGTATATATGAAATTTTATATAATTTAAATCAATAATAATCAAACTTATGATTGTCATTTCTTGTAAACACTACTGTATATTATTATATTTTTAAAGCATATTAAACTTTGATTACAATAAGTTAAAATGAAATCTCAAGTTAAAAATTTCAAAATAATATAAATAATATAAATAATATACTGGGTATACTGTAGATATATTGTATATAATGTTGTAATTTAACATGATATTTTTAATTTTAGATTACTATATGTAAAAGATAACAAACATGTACTATGCTTACATTAATATAGATTGCATCTAATGCCTGTCTAAAAAAAAATTATTTAAATTTTCTATAAATTTTTTCTTTGAGAAAATATTCATAGTCTGTAATTTTCCAATAATTATTTGTTTATTTCTGCGAATTATTTTATATTTACAATAATAATATTTCAAGATTTCAATATATATTCGAAGAAAGGCACCTTATGACTTTTTTTCAAAATGATTTTTTATATTTCTAAGGTTCTCTCGAAAAGGCATAATAAAATCCACAGATCAATTAACACATATTTCTTAATAGTTATACCCTCAAAATAAAAAATATCATTATTTTTTATAATAATACATTAGAATTGAATTAAATTGAACCTTTTTGTTACTTCTGCTAAATAAGCTCGATTACAATACGAGCAGTTGACTGATCGATATATGTTGAGTGTATGCTCTCAATGACTTCCATTATATTTTTGATAATAGCATCCTTAATTCTGATACAAAGTTTCAATACAATACTATCTGTAGTATAACTCCAAGTTCACTCCATCGTGTATTTCATCTGTAAATTATAATTTTTAACAATATGAGTTTTGTGTGTAACAAATATTGATTTCTAAAGTTTACATACAATCTTCCAATGTCAACGCATCCTTGTAAGTGGTATACCTAAACAAAGGAAATAACGTATTAAGCAAACGGTAAAAATACAAATAATAATAGCCATTACAGCCTTTAATAATGCAAGCGCCCACCATTTCTTTAAAATAATTTTCGAGGAGTCGGTGCCTGTTTGAGCCGCGATCAATTTTTTCAAATCTCCGATTGTGTCACCAGGTCTTAATAAATGTGAACGAAGTTTTTAATAAGATAAAGCGTTGTTAACAGAGAAATGAGATCAATACATACCTGCATTTCACTTGGACACTTTTTCCAAGGCGATCGTTGCAAGTAATTCTTATCATTTCTTGTTTTTGCATCGTCATCGAATAGCAGTAACTCTGAATGGAAACGTCACAATGTAATATAGATCGTTCTCTGTGTTACCTGAGTTTAATCTTTAGATATTAGTAGATAAGAGATGTTTTTTTTTTCATTATTTCTTCTAGCCCGAAATGCCATTAATTACGTATATTGTTGCAGGGACAACGATTGCATTTGGAACAGGTGCTTTGCTTTACACCTTTCAGACTGAAATACTCTATCCTGCTAGATATCGAAAAAAATCTCGACAATTCGTAAGGAATTCATAAAAAACAATAAAGTAACTCCTTATCTATTTTGTTCAATCATAAACCTACATTTATAATTAAGATAACACCAAAATTCGCGGCCGATGGAATTCCATTCAGCGAGACGACGTTAATTACTGAAGATAATGTTAGAATCAAGGTTTACATTTGCAAGCGTCCCACCGACGAAGAGGCTCGCCAAAGACCCACGATTTTGGTTTTGCATGTACGTAATCTAACGATTATTGAAACTGATCAAATATCTCGGCAATTCGTTGTCTAATTTAATAAATTTCATTCCGATAGGGAAATCGTGGCAACGTAGTTCAGTAAATGATTTGGGAGTTATAATAGCAAAGTTATAGATGGATTACTGATGATTATAATAATAGGGACAACGTTCAATAATTACGACCAAGTTCTACAATGAATTAAGGTGTAATGTAGTTCTACTTTCTTACAGAGGGTACATAGATCATTTTTTTCTTACATTAAGTTATTCTTATTTAATGAGCGTATATAAAACATCGATCTTTATTATAGTTATGGGCATAGTGAAGGTAAACCGACCGAAAAAGGTATCAAAATTGATGCTCAGGTATTTCTTAAGAAGTCATCATCATTCAAATTTCAACAAAATTTTTAATGAAATTCTTGTTCAAATACGCTGCATAGTAGACGTGTCTGGATTACGTTAAGAGACATAGTGTACTCAAAGGCACAAAACTTGTAATTTACGGAAGATCACTTGGAGGTGCTGTGGCCATTGATTTGGTTTCAAGGAATGAGGATTTGGTACGGCGATCAATATTCTTCTATGATTGAACTTATAAAATTTTTTTATATAAATCAAATTAAATTATTAATCATATAGGTTGAAGCGATGATAGTGGAAAATACATTCCTCAGCATTGTAAATATTTTTCTAATTTGAATTGACAAAAAAAAGAATAACCTTTTTATTTGTCAAATTAATATAATTCATCTTCTCAATTAATTTAGCCAAAACTTCTTCCAACCTTTTTCCCTCTGCTTCGCTATTTTACCTTCTTCTGTTCACAAATTTGGCCGTCTGAACAATCTATACTCAGGATTCAAAAGATTCCTGTGTTGTTTTTATCAAGCGGTAAAGATAAATTGGTACCAAAAGATCAAATGATGAAATTATTTGACTTGGTGGATACCGAAGGTGGAAAAGCCTGGAAAGACTTTCCAAATGCAGAACACGCAAATACCATTAGCCAAAATGGATATTTTGAGACGATTGGTGAGTTTCTGAGATGGTCCGTAGATAAGGATGAAGTGGATGCCATCGAAGAATGATTAGTTGGACGAAGAATGTTTCAACTTTAGATGATAATGATTTATAATAGGATAAGACGTATAGAGATATCTTTAAGTCCCAAAGATGAATATCTTTATAATAGTTTTGTGAATATTAATTACATTTTTATAGTTTTTTAATTGCCTAAAGGTTTGGAATTCTATACTCAACAAACAACGTTCCTAATTATTAGCGACCTGCCTCAAAATTTAACACTAATTTTTAATATAATTTCTTAATTAGTAATTATTTTTTAAATACTATTTGTTACATTTTTTGTTTATCTATTTATTTAGAGGCTTTAATAATCTTTTATCGTAACTTATTATAAATTATCACTTTATGCTTTATTTCTTTTCTATTATAATAAAATATTGATCATTTTTACATACATAGTAAATATACAGTATAGCGATTATATCTTTATTTAAAATAAATAACGAATTACATTGAATAAAATATTTCAACTTTATTGTTATTATGTTGAATGAATTCTTGCATATCATTTTTTTAAAATATAATTTTGAATATTTTATAATATTTTTAAAAATTTTTGACTTTAAAATCCCAATCATTAAATGCATGTTTTTTTAAATGTACTGTAAAATCAATAAATTGTTATATTGAAATACTGTAAATACTACACTAGTTAAAATAATTTATTGTATTTGGCATAATACTACTGGTCAATTATTAAGCAAAAATTAATAAATTGGCAAATATATCAAATTTATAAAATAATTTTTGGTTATAAATCAGTATATAAAATTAAAAAAATAATTCAGCATACAATATTCAACAATAAATTTATGTGATTTTTTTTTTTCAAATTTTTGTAAAATTCACTTTGCAATATTTATTAATGAATATTTTGATCTGTTTAATTAAAATTTTTAATATTTTATCAATAAAATTATTTATTTATTTATTTTTGTCAAATTTTTGTTATACTGTATATCTATTTGTTATTAAAATTTTATTATATATTTGTATATTTTATTTGTAATTTAAAAAATCAATAATTAAAAATATTTATAAAAATTAAAAAAAATTTTTTTCCACTTTCCTTTCTACACTTGAAAATTTCCTTTTTAAAAAATTTTTGAGTTGTCTACTTCTTTCTTCATCTCTCTCTTTTTCTCTCCCTATGCTCCCTTTCCTATCTCCTTATTTTCTTCTTTCTATTCTCTTCCTTCTCTTATACTGTATATACTTTTTTTTATCTTTTACCCTTCTCCTTCTCTTTCCATTTTTTCCTTCCTGCTGAAGCTAGTTTTTTCCTTTTTCTTGAAGGTTTTCCTCTCTAGGCCTCTCTCTCTTTTAAAAACTCCATCTCCATAATATCACTCCTCTGGCCAGTTGATTTCATTTTCTCAAGGACCATATTAAGAAGCGGTAACCTTTCTCTGAATGTAGACTTTAGAATTTTTTCTCTCTTTTATAGTTCCTTAGAAAAAGAACAGATGGCTTACCCCCTCCAAAAGATCAACATAACTATCATTATCAAACCCGGCATTGTTTACTAATCGGTGGTTAGACTAGATATGTCCAAGAAATCTTTGTACAACTATTATTATCTGAAAGTACCCAAGGAGTTGTGTCCTACAGTATCCAGAATGAAATAGCAGCCCATGCCAATGTAACTAGCAATAAGCTAGGTTAGTTGCAAGTGTTATGCTAGTGATTGGAGAACTTAGTAGAGTAATATGTAATGACCAGAGATTCTAGTTACTCCTGCAACATGAGCTGATAATGACAATGAAAGTTTTTTGCTTATTCCTCTGATAATGTAGATCTATTGTACAAGGTTAGGTTCCGGCGTCACTAAGAAAACCAATATGAACTTCACTTATACAACACTTTTATCACACTTGAAGCATGAATGTGTCAAATCCTTTTTGTGACTTGGAGGTAAACTTGTACAGTATAAAGTGGCTACAACACCTTTATGTAAAAAGATACTTATTTCTTATCACCTCCAACACTACTCCGCTTGCCATACTTCAAGCCATATTTGAAAAGCAGGCATACCAATCCTAATTATAACTTGAAGGCCAACTTGTATAGATTGGCTACAGCACCTTTATGTGATTGGATATTTATTTACTTCTAGGTAGCTAAATATCATTCATAAACATAATATAGATTTTTTTGAATTTTTTTTTGTCTATATTTCTTGAATGGTGCTAAAAGAGCACAGGAGTTTGGCTCTATATGGAAGCCTTGCATTAAACTCTTCCTAGCAAAGAGAAATATATGTCATGCTATTGAGTATTGTATCTTGCTTTGCAAATGAAAGTATAATAAATATAATAAAATGTGATAGCCATTTGCTTTTTTCAAAAAAAAAAATATTTATAAAAATTTTGATAATTGAAAATTATATATTTAAACAAAATAAATTAATCAAAATCTTATAAATAAAAATTAGTTATTTATATTTAATTACATAAAATTATTATTTTATAATTCAATATTTATATTGTTTTTAAATTTAAAATAAAATATACTCTTTTGTTAAATTAATAAGTTTAAATTTTTTTTAATTATTATATATAAATAAATATTAAATATAAAATTTTTATTTGATTATAAATTACAATTAATATAATCTTATGATTTTTTTAAAAAACTCTCTCCTAATCACGTCCGTTTTGTTAAAAATTTTCCTTTTATGATAATTTTAAGCAAGAAAAAATGTTTTACACTCTTTATCGCAAGTG